ATGCGTGAATTACCTGGTTGTTCGCCCAGTATGAATAACTCCACATTGTTAATTGAACTTGTTAGTCCGCAGAGAGAGGATGGAATTAGATAACCTAATGTTGGTCAGCTGAAGAATGTATAGGATAACTTTACTGTAGTGAATATCCTCCTGAAATCACTACTTGGATAAAGTACCACCTTCTCAGTCTTGATTTCACACAAAATTTGGTTTTGAGAATAGTGTTCTTATAAATTACTGTAAACTGCAATCTTCATTTTTAGCAATCTCGTGTTTTCTAGAAACTTCATTGTACGCGCTCTTACAAAGTAGGTGATACACAGAATTTAATTGCTCATCTTACATAATGTCTGAGCAGCTCATTTCACTTACTAGAACTCAGCAAACACTTGAGAAAAAAGGATACTCTGGTCTGGTCCCTAGGCAGCAACGAGTATGCTCTACAATAGTCATGGTGACGACCACCTAAAATTGCATACTCTGAACATCGAACATCAAAATCATGAGAACCAACCAAAGTTGAGTAGATGCAAAGCTCATTCCTACACTAAAACCAGGAGACCTGTCAATTTATAAGTCAGGCTTCTCATTCTAAACATCTGGTAACAAATGGAATAATCCATATTTGGAAACAATACCCAAAATCAAGGAATATCTAAGAAAACTCGTACGCTAACAATATGCGTTATATAAATTGAATGTGCTCATTCGAAGCTTGGGATTATCTGAAAGTAAGAACAAGAGACAGTCAAGACTTTAGAGGTATTCGAGTGTTTGTAATACGTTCTTGATGTTACAATGGGAATAATTAAATTATTCTCTAAAATTCTCAAGAAGTATTCATTTTTGTGCATATACCGAAAGCATCTGTTTTGGTTAAGTACAGAGAAGCTATTAAAGCTATAAAAGAAGTTGATTTAAACATACGAGAAACTCTACCGTTTATGCTCAGAAATAAAATGGATGTTTGTGTAAAGTTTATTTCTGAATTTTCAAATCAGGTTGTTAAATTTGGTTTCTTGAAGTTTTCCCTTAAAAAAACATACTACTGAACTACTGGTAGAGTAGTTAAAAGCCATTTTATACTGACTAGAGTTTACCAGCAGGTTTCAATGGTGGTAATACAAACTCATCAACAATCTTTAAGGTAGTATTCGTTGTGCACTGACATTAGATGGGGAACCATTGAGAACCCCAGAGGATTGGATAGGCTTCTCGTGCTAGCATTGGCCCGCCAGGGATCGAACTCAGGACCTTCGGGTTTCCGGCGAATCCATTAATTATTCAACCAGTGGCACGTGGTCAGGCATTCATGTCATTTGGTACGTTGTCCTGTTACGTTGCGTTGCCCGTACACAACCTTCCAGCCAACTAGTCGGAACGCATCGGCAATTTGGCACGGTCGTTCAAATATACAATCCCACCTTACTATTCTGTTGCGTCTATTCTTCGTCTCTCACTCCTGGATATGTAACAAGTATGGATAGTTAGTGATTGGCCTTTGTGTCTTCTAAAGTCCGCCTACGATAAATCCTAAAAACGGTAAGTCTTAAGGTCTTTTAATTTCTCAGACGTGGTACTGATGAAACGTCTCCGTTCACTTCCACGCCAACAATATGAAATAACAGGATTGAATGGAGGCCGCCACTTATTTCCAAACAAACTGTACGTAATCCTACGCTTCTAAACCTCATCCTAACTTAGAATCAATACACTGATGTATGTGGCTTAAGCATTACCCTATTTCTTCTGCGGAATACCATTACTTATCCACTGTCTACCACAAAACCAATGTCACTCATTTAGTATGGATTTAATATGTCACAACTTATTAACAGGTTCGTTGTTTTACAGCAGAATATATGTATATATATACTGCACATTTCAGTACTAAAAATGCGTCTAGTTAGGTAGTCGTGTTAACGCATATCAAATGCAATAATAATGTTAACTAGTGATGAAATGTATATCTGCTGAGCGACATAAGCGAATCTTAGAACGATTTCAACATGCTTAGTACGCTTATACAAAACAAATCGTCCATAAGGAGTTCAACATAAATTCATTCATACCGGTAAGCATCGTGTAGCACATACGATGACTTCTTTTTGGTAAAACTTCCTCCTATTTTGAAGTATTCAAGTACTTAATTGAGGTATTGTAACTCCCTTTATATGAATATGGGTATCAGAAATTGAAAACATGATTTGTTTAAACTAACAATATCAATTGTATCAAACTGCCTACAACTTATAAGTAACTAAATATGTCTAGGATGAATGCTATTTAGAAATGAATGGTAGTTTATATAGCTGATGAATTTGACTATCGTTTACTGCTTCTAAGTTTTAAATTTTGCTCGTAGACGCTGCATTGTCATCATAGATCACACATTCAATTTTTGAGGGCTGTTTGTCTAAGTTATACGGGAGAAAAGACTGATCTTACGCATAGTAGTAAGAGGTTGTTTGGTGCTTACTGACCTTCGTGTTACTCCTGATAAATCACTTTCTGTTTGATATGTAGTTCATGTTTATTCTGTCTCCGTCACACCCGATCAAGTATATAACGCTAGTCAAAGCTCGTTTATCAAACTCACACTGCCTCATTGGAACTTATAGAGAGTTATCATGTGAGTTGACGACAACTAGTGTCCATTGGGGAAGCCCACTATCACTCTTCCTATTTAACCTCGTCATAGATGTACAAATAGACATAACCTTAGATACGTCTGACCACGGGATTGACCTACTCAATGGAGATCATCTTCTTGACTTGAAGTATGCAGACGGTATTTCATGCTAGACCAGGTGAAGACGCAGACAAAATGCAGTCTTCTGAATGCCTTGAGAAGAAATCTCAGTATGTTTGGCATGAGTTTCACACTGGTCGAATATAAGAAAATCCTCCGGGACTGATCTGCTGCAAGTACTTCCAGTTTAAATGATAGGCAGTGAACTGGTGGAGTGTGTCAACCACTTCACTTACTCAAAAAGTGGCATCAGCTCGAATAGGCCGTTTCCTGACAAAATGTAAGCTCGGATATAGAAGGCCCGTTCGGCATTCGCTAACGTGCGTTCACTGTTGTGCCAACTGGCTAGATATCCGACTATCTATCAAAGGATGAGTAGATTGCACTACATTCCGTCCTGTCCTGTTGTACGGCTGTGAGACATGGCCGTTAAGAGTAGAAGACATGAAGCGGTTGCAGGTGCTTGACCACAGATGTCTTTGTCCCATTGTTTGCCTTTGGTGGAATTATCGTGTGAGCAGTTTTGAGGTCAGGTGAAGGATATTAAGCAAGACACGTGAATCGACTGATGGGTTCTGAGTCTTCATCGGCTGAGATGGCTTGAACATGTACTATAGCTGTCGATTCACCGCCTGCACCTGTTCTCTGTATACTGCTGTGAAGTGTGCGACGTGAACGCATGCACCTGTGTGCGAGGTCCTACGCTGATTTTGTCAGTCAGTTAATCACCCAGCACTCCTTATAGATAAGTGTCTGTTTTCGTTCATTAACCTTCGGTTCCTATCTGTTCTGCGTCATTGTTAAGAATACTTAAGTTGCCCTTTGGACATAGTCAGAAAATTTCGGTAAGTTTGAAATTCATAAATGGCAGCAAATTAAGCCGTTGAGTTATAAATTAATCTTGCAACTGTTTCGGAAATTAATTTACCGAGACATCATTTTTATTGTTACATATTACTGAAATTTTCTAGTAGACTTTTATACAACTTCTAAGGAAACATCTCTTTCTGTGTATTCAATCATTTAGCCAGTGGTTTTTGTATGGATCGATTGGTTTCAGGGTAATTCTTATAACGGTTCTCCAATTCATGCAAACCAATGACAAACGCTGCTTAGTAAACATATTCAAAGACTACAGGAGCTGGTCACCAGTGAGCAACCTGTACAGCTATTTGATCCTTAGTGATCGAAGTCTGTGGACCAAGTTTTACCATGTGGTCACGAAGGGAAATAATGAGACTTTGCAGTGCAATGTATTTTGATGTCAGATAGTGGGAGTTACTCATCAAGGTGTCCTGGATCCAGGTTTCATGCTTGTTTTCACTCATCAGCTAGGCGTTTCGGCAACCATGAGGAAACTGCTGTTTCCTCACTGAGTGCTGAAATCATAAACTTGACTACTGAGCTATTCGGACCACGACTGACCATTCGTAAGACTAGTGGCTGACTTCTACCATCATCTGACAGCCAGGTTTTAGAGAATCTGTAAATAACAGGTTTTAGCTAAAAAAGTTGTAGGGTTTCTGATTAGGTATTAACAATCCCTTGAGTGCCTTTTTCAATATCAAATTTCACTACGCTTAGCAGGTTTTTGACGTTATAAGATTAATATAATAGGTATCAACTTTACTGAGAGCCACTTGGCGATTCTGATGTCCAAATACACTTGATAAACATAACTGCTACCTCAACTTAATTAAATGATAAGTACAAAGAGTAACATCTCAGCCGGTTGTTTAAATAAGTTATTTTTATACCACAGAAGAAATCGAAGATGATAAAACCATTGAAACTGTTAACTGCGAAACCACATAGACTATTAGTATCTGCATTTCACATTTGAAATGAATTATTCTCCATTGTCTCTTGCCGCTTCGTTTATTTTGTGTATTCACTTCCTATATTTCTCTTTTCATCATTCAAAACGTCTTCTGATTGTATGCTAACTTCAGTGGGTTTCCATATTGATTTACTGATATACATTAGTGATATGTGTTCTTGTTACTAGCATACACCACCATTCATAAAACCCACCCATAGAAATTTAAGACACCAAGTTATTCCTGACGTTGTCAAGACAACTAAAATGTGATCTACATTACTGGAGTAAAAGTATCGTGATTTCTATTGGTTAAACTGAGGTCAACAGTTAGTAATATAATGATTTGTTGGTTTACACAACCAATCAGGTGACAGAATTTGTATGTGATTATTATAAAACAATCTTGTTGCCAAAGCTGGTTAGGACTTGAAAATCAAGATGTCTGTTAGAGAACTATCAAATGTTGAAGTCGTAAGCATTGAAGAGCCGGATGAAAAACGTCATGAACCACGATGGGAGCCAGGTGAAGAAGGTATTGGTGTAGGAGGTGGAATATTATTCGCCCTGCTAGTCCTACTGTTTATTGTTACCTTTCCAATAACAATATTCTTTGCAATACGTACTGTTAAAACCTATGAGAGAGCAATCATCCTACGCTTTGGTCGTTTAAAGAGAAGTAATGGAAAATATATTTTAGGCGCTGGATTACAATTTGTTATGCCATGCGCTGATCAGATGATTCGAGTCGATCTACGTACACGCACTGTAAATATTCCACCACAAGAAATATTGACTAGTGATTCAGTGACTGTGAGTGTTGATGCTGTAGTATTTATGCGTGTGATTGAACCGGCTGCCGCTTTGTTACGTGTTGAAAATGCAGGGAAATCAGCTGAGTTATTAGCGGTTAGTGCATTACGTTCAGTTTTGGGTACATATGAATTATCACAATTGTTAACTAATCGTGATCAAATCGATGCGAAGTTAGCAACTCTACTGGATCAAGCTACAGGTGATTGGGGAATTAAGGTGAATTATCAGTTTATAACTAGTATAATTATCTGCTCACAAATAAGTATACATTTTGTTGTTATTTAGGGATTTCTTTGATTTCTATATATTTTACGCTAGGAGGATGATTGAGTTATTAAAGTTTACTAACTTGATTACAAAGGGTTCATGCTTAGTTAATATAAGACTTGTATCATCCTAATCTAAAATCTATCAATTATATATCAACTTTATAATATATTTTTCAATAATACATTTAAGCATTATCAAAAGGAAAGGAAGGAAACCTATTGAGTTCGATAACTAAGACAGTTCTCAATGTCCATCTGTTAAAACTACCTTTCATACTGATAGAAATAAGGTTTCCAGGTAGTAACTGAATAAGAGACAAAACTGTGGATTCATGAAATACACATCTTAGTATAATTGAAGTTTAAGATGATAACTTACAGAATAAAATACCTAATTGCGTCAGAAACGTTAGTGTCTATGGCCTAACTAAAAATAATATAAATAGAGGTGTGTATACAAAACTATGACTTAATAATATGGAGTAATATTCTCAAAGGAATTTCAATACTACATAAAACCTTTCTATGGTTTTCCCTAGTGACTAGTTCTTTGGACGTTAATGCCTCTAAAAGACAAATTAATTGTAGTTTAGTCTATCAAAGAATGTGACAAGAAGCGAAAGTTTTCAAGGAATCTTTAGACCAACTCATGAAACTGTGATCTTGTTACATCGATTTGAAGTGATCCAGGTCGATATGAACATTTTAGTCTGTTTATTAGAAATATCATACAATGAAACAGTATCATTTATTGGATATCATTTGGAAACAATTCACTGTCCATATTCATATCGGCCAACTTACTCACAACTTTAACACAGAGTTCATGCAGTCCTAATTTTCTCTCCTTCTTTGTGATGATAAGGGTAGTAGAATTTTCCATATATCTGAGACATGTAGAATCATTTCTGTTGCATGTATTTAGTATTCATTTAATGAGCAAAGATTTGGTTATAACGTCTCCTTTTGCCAACTAAGTTTTTAATACTGTCGTTACACTCCACCCTATTGTATGATTGAGTGTAATTAAGTATTTACCTGTGGCCGACCTTTTCTATACATTCCATATCTTATTAGAGCTATTTACTGATCTTGATTTAGCTAAGCTTTTTGCTCTTTTATTCTAATTGACCTTGGTTGACTACTTTCACTTATGTATTTGACCTAATAATCATTGCAAGGGAGTCGGTAAGTCAAATTATTTTGTTGAATTGCATCAAAAGGATATTTACCTACAAAGTTTATTTCTAAGTGAGTTTCTTGGTTTAAATGCCATTTTGAATCCCAGCTCTATGGAGAATTCTTCTTAATGCTTCCTTGTATAGAAACGCAACAGTGGCTTTGAATTCTGTCTCAACCCTGTCATCATTATTACTATTAGTGGTAGAATTATTATTATTAATGACACCTGTATTACTAACACTGCTAATATTTTTCTTTCGATTTCTTATGAATCTATTGATACTTTAAGCTTACTAGTAGGCCAGAAAATCTACAACAAAAAATTATACATACCAAGAATACCTTACGTTTCAGTAGTTGCCCACCTAAATTTACAGAGCACAAAAACTTAGCTAAGTCAAGATAAGAAGTTTAGAAAAACGCTGGGCTATAGATCTGCATGCAGTTACACACAGTAAGATTGGATAGAGTGGCGGTCTTAAAAAGGAACTTAGTTGGGTGGAGAGAGAGATTGATAAGCAAATCTTTTTGTATGGAATCAACACTAAATGCATGCAATAGAAATGATTCCATATGTCTCAGATATATGGAAAATTCTACTACCTTTGTTATCACAAAGACGAAGAGAGAATCAGGACTGTATGAACTCTGTGTTAAAGTTGTGGAGTTAGTTGGCCAATATGAATACGGACAATAAATTGTTTCCAGAATGATATCCAATAAATGATACTGTTTCATTGTATGCCATTTCTAATAAACTAAAATGGAATTACAATCTGCCACAGTGTCTATGTTTTACTCCTGTATTAGCGGATATGAACAATGGAGAAGTGAAATTCATAATTGCTCACTCTTTCGCTTGATCCTATTACACTACCATTATTAAACTTCTTCATTGCAACCATCATCAACATTTGTAGCTTTTTCAAAAGTTTTACATTGCTAAGTTAAACTACTTATTGAGTAAGATGGTAGTCTAAGCCTATTGATTATTTATGAAATGTAACTGATAACCCTTATGATACAATTCTACAGTGCATATCGGTTTGTTTTTCGGTGTTAAGCGTTAGTCGAAAGGATGTTCCACTTGACCCAAGTTTCATGTCTATCGTCATCCCTGAGAAAATCTAGACACGAGATATACATCAAGCAGAGTTCGTTAATTGATTGTATACAGCTAACATCAAAAAATAGTCTATAGCGATATCTTGTTATATTAATCCAAAGGAAAGAAGGTATAAAACTGGCCAAGTATAATTGTTTTGAAAGACTCTTTAGTCAGAAGTGATTTCATAGTTTTATTTTTTGGTCATTTTTACAACCTTTTCAAAGATTTTTCAATGATTATTTCATGCCTTTGCATTTGTAAGTAATGGTTAATCCCCTTCATTTAGAGTTTAATAATAATGATAGTAATTGCTTTGTTTCAAACAACACATGATACCGCATGGAGTTTTCAGCATGTAATATTTTAACAGATTCATTCCCTGTACAATATTTTTAAAGGAAACAACTATTACATCGGAATAATGTTCATAAAACAGTATTGAGGACAATACTGTGAAGTAGACAGCTAACGTTACTTTATAGACTGGTTTGGACTGGTTTGTATGTAAAGAAATTCGAGTATAATTTTGGTGCTGGTAGTTGATTCAATTAGTACAAAAATCTGTAATTTGACATAAGTGTCTGAGGAATATCAATGTACTGTATTTCTGTGCATTTATAAGCCCATTTCTTACTGGCCTAACTTTTTGTATTCGTTCTGTTGTTAGCTTGATAAATAGTAGTTTGAAAACATTTAAAAATTGTACGTTTAAAAGACGTATTCAAGGTTTAAGCAGGCCGCCATTTTTGGTTAGAGAGGTATTTAGGTTATTAAAACAATTATTATATAATGTATGTTTGAGATGAATGGGAATTTTAATTTAGAGGAAGTATTCATCACCAACTGACATCGATTGGGGAACCATTGGAAACCTAGGAACACTAGATAGCTGTTTCGTCCCACTTGTATGGGACTTCTCAGCAGTACGCATCCACGACCAGACCAGGTATCGAACGAAGGACCTTCAGATTTCACGGCGGACGTATTTGCCATTCGGGATTTAGTGGTTCACAGTTTCCAACTTCTGTCAATTCAAGATATAGCACGACTGTCACCCAAGGTCTTTAGTTAGCATCCAATTCACTTCCAACTGGTTGGCCCCGCAAGTCAGCGTTCTCATTAGAACTTCGGGATATCCACCTGAAAGCATGTCACTAATGAGCACTACACAGTGATATACTTTTGGAATGAATGAGGATTTTAATTAAGAGGTGGTATTTGTCACAGGTGGCATCATTTGGGGAACTGTTGAAATCTGGGAGCACTGGACAGCTGTTTCTTCTTCGTATGGGAAATCACGCACTCTCAATGAAACCTGAAGGTTCTAAGTTCGATCCTTAGCAGGGTCACAGGTGCGTACGGCTAAGGATCCATGTACTAGGACAAAACAGCTGTCCAGTGCTCCGAGGTTTCCAGTAGTTCCCCAACTGATTTCAGTCCGTGATGAATAATATCTCTAAATTATTATATAGTCTTTGCTATATGTGTTTCACCTCTATCTGACAGTTCTTCAGGAATTTCAGTCGCCTTACAACAAAAACCTCAAAACAATTAGAAATATAAACTAGCGCCCGGAAGTAGTAAATTTACTGACCATTTTATGTTTATTGGTAGTAAATTACTTTCAGAATGTGATCCGAAAATTTTTACTATTCTGTTGTCTAGTAACAAACTGACTTGAAATTATAACATTTTGCAGTCACCATATTCGGCTGGCATGTAATGATATTCCAGTTTGATTGATCTGCTTTCATTGTAAATACAACTTAATTATTAGGCTTGTTGGTCCTGTTTGTCTGATGATATGGTGAATTATTTCAAACAGTCTCTAGAATACTGTAGAAAATGATAAAGCTAAGCGCATAGATATGAATATCTGTCCGCTTTATATATTTTACCTTTGCTGAGTTATAATTCGACACAATTAATACTGAAAATGGAAATTTTGAGGCCAAGATTTTCACAGTTATTGAACATGCGATATGTAGTCGATGCGCATTCTTAAGGGTGATTCCTAACAAGATTGTGTTGCGAATAAAATGTTAAACATTGAGTTACAGATATGCCTTGCTGAAGAGTGCCAAAATGCATGGAACTTAGTTCGAGCTAGGGCTGTCTACCGATTGTTTCCATTCAACTAATATCTCTTTAAGATGGTGAGTCTCTTAGCCTGGTTACCACAAACACGAAACGTAGGTCTAGGGCCTCCTACTGAGTGCCTCCATCCACCTAACACCTACGAAAGTGCACCACGATGCTAAGCTGCCTAGTCTGGTGGCCACAGTGCAAAATGATCGATAGAATCCGGTCAGCACAAAGGACTAGACAACATGAAGTTGGTTAACCTTCAATGACCAATAATTATACACCATCCAGTCCTACAAGAGGTCAGTCACGACCCGAATAGCTCAGTGGTAGAGCCTCTGACTGCATCACTGGGTTACGTGGATTTCAGTCTCAGGTAGGACATCAGTTCCGTAGAATTGTGGATACATCTCGCCAAAAGCACGAAATCTAGGTCTAGGGTTTCCTACCCATTGTCTCCATCCAACTAACATCGAGTTTTTATTAAATACTGGAATCCAATTTGATCATTAATCTACTTTCCGCTCTTTGTCAAGGTGATTGGCCAACATTTCCTCCCTTTTGTTCTTATAATCGAGTTGTTTCAACTTGTCATACAGAAATAGGAATGTTTTCTTCAGTTATTATTATCAATGTCTGAACGAGCTAGAATGTGAGCAGTTCTCAGATAGATTTGGCTATCGAAGCCTCCTTTACTAGATACTGGTATTCATGTTAGTTTATTTTGATTGTTGAAACATATTGTCTGAGAAAATGACACCGAATAACAATCAGGAAACTGGGTGGCTATAGGTTGTCAATCATACAATACACCTGGTGTTGTGATTAACAAGTCTGTCTACAGTTTCATTTAGCATTTGTAAACTTATGCTACTTGCAACACCGGCAAGACATTCGACTACTTATCAAAAGATGACTGTATTATACTGCAGTCCGCTCATTCCTAATGTACTGCTACAAGACATGAACATTTAAAGTAGAAGATCATGGATGCCGTCATAGGATTGCCCACGTGTAGCAAAATCGCCATGTAATGATGTTGAGGTTATGTTAAGAGTACTAGAAAAGGAAGACAAGTCAATCAACGAGGTTATGACCATCTACCCATTGAAATGACTTGGACATTTGTTGGTCGAAGTAGGCTTAGTTTGGTAGCAGGCCAAGAGATATCAAAACAAGAATTCCATAGAGTTTTTGACTGTTGGTACGAACCGTGTGAGGAGGTGTAGGTTGTTGGACTGGCTGAGATCCTTTAGACAATAGGAATCAGTGGTTGAAGACTCCTGATGACATGATTCAAAATGAGATACAATGGCGCTGACATATACACTCGTCATCTACAAAGTTTCGAATATTTTTTCATCATTCTTCATCGATTTAGCGTGACTGCAGAATATGGCGCTGTACCAGAGTGTAATTCAGGATTAAATTGATCTATCTGATATAGCACACAATGAAACATTATTGTTGAATTATTCAGCAGGATTTATCGCTCATAATCATGTCAAGGTAATAACACAAATTCCAATCCTAGTTTCCTCTCATAATTTAACTTGTTTTCCACTATTTAATTTGATTAGAATTAGAATTTTCTATCCGTCAGGTGGTGGGGTTGAATCATTCCTGTCACAAGTATTAGGTGTCGGTGATCAAATTCTCTCTGTCTCTCCATTTGACCATATTATTCACTAGATCTGTTAGTCAGTGGCCCTGCTGTTTGGTTGAGTGTTGTTTCGCACATAGGTATAGGTTAATTCTTCCCTAGATTACTCATCTTAGTAGTGTCGATCGATCTAGACTTCCTCGTGTTCCTATTTTCTATTTACCTGACTAACTGAAATCGGCTAGTTGTACGTATATAATTTACCTCATAATCATTGCAAGGTATTTTATAGATATCGATAGAATTTTTGAGGTTTGAATACCATCCTCATCCCAGCCTTATCGAGAATAGTACACTGACATTCTGATGTCTCTTCCTTATATGGCAAAATTGTAGAGGCCTTGAATTCTTTCTCAGTTGTGTTGCACTCATTGCTTACATCAGTATGTTTTCTTTCTTATGCTACCTTATGAATTTCTGGATAAATTTTTGAGAATACTTCTTCAGAAGTAAAACTTCTCCAAAGTTTTTCATTTTGTGACAGAAAATTTTCAGATTACTAAACTGAGTCCTAGTTCGATTACTTAGACACAGCTAAATTTACCCCAACTGATACATGATGAGATGACATAAAGTCTACACATCGATCAAAATGTTATTGTTCTCCATGAATATTTGTATCGAAGCCACCATCTTTTCTTCGTTTTATTCGGCAATCAATTTTTCGACACCTGTTTGGATTTCAGCATAGAAAGTGTGTCCTTCACGCATCTCCGCTATAGTTTCAGAGTAGGATTCTATCTTCAGAGAACCATAAGTTCACAACTATCCATAAAAATACCAGCTACAACTGGAGAAGTTGGTAGTCTTATTGGTATTTCTTTCACTTATTGATATGTTTGACTTTGAAGTTTGGAAGCTGTAGAAGTAAGTTAACTAAGCTGCTGACATATCATAAATAGGTACTAGTGAGCCTACAGTTTAATGGGTTTCTAATAGGATACTATCGAAGCTAAATATTTAGATGGTTTATGTTTTGGATATTCCTAAAGTCAGCTACGGGTTTAAAGAGGTAACCTGGTTTGTGAACTCTTTTAGCATCATACATTCAACTGGGATTATCAGTTTTTAAGGCATTAAAGTTGTTTACGCCTAAATAAGTAGAATGTAGTTACATACCATGTCTTAGAAACTCTCTGGTCAATATTCATAAACTGATGACATTTTTGTGTGAACAAACCATATCTGTAAATTCGTTAACATACACATTTAATACAGCTGACTGTTGTGATGAGTTTCGTCCCAAAGGTCTCATCAACTTTGCAATTATGTTTTTTCCTACCCCTACTGTCGCTAACACACTCTGGTTCAGACAGAACATCATGATATAGACACAGCACATAATAATGAATTGATCTTGGGTTGGAACTCATCATGGGCTAACGTAATGTAGAGGAACACTGGAAACCTGGGAGCACTGGACACTTGTTTCGTCTTAGTATGAGACCCCACCCCGCCCCACCAAGGATCCAACCCAGGACCCTCAGGTTCCCTGGCCAGCACGCAACCATTGAGCCACTGGGTCGGCGGAATCCAATGGTCAATATTTCCCACTTTTATCAGTTCATGATATAATGCGACCTACATCTAATGTCGTCGCTGAGTAACTGTCCTCATGTTCTACTTGCTTGACTCCACTGGTCACGAATTCTCATCGGAACTTCGGGAATCACCTCTCGAAGCAAGTCAGCAATGAGTGCTAGATCAATTCTATCTAGAGGTTTGTGGAGGTTTATTAATTGATTTTAGGTTGGAATTCATCATGGACTGATATCAGTTGGAGGAACATTAGAAACCTAGGAGCATTAGTCAGCTATCTCATCCTAAGTATGGAACTCATTAGCAGTGTGTACCCATGACCCTGCCAGGGATCCCTTTCAAATGACCTAACTTCCTCTCATTACCTCATCTAATTAGGTTTCATTCATGCTTTTAGTTAAACCATAAAAATTAATCGAATAATACACTTTCGTTGATACAAAAAGTTTAGTCAGAATACAGTTTGATTATTTTTCTGTCTCGCATTCGAATCATCTAAAAGACTGAAAATGAGCGGGGAAAAATTATTAGTTTCCTTACTGTACAAAAAATATCCTAAGTTTCAAGTATCTCATACTTTATTACTTAACAAAAAGCTTTCGCATCTCAAATTCCCCCATAAAACCATAATGTACGAATAAGATATACTAAATAGCATATACAATTTTTGTTGAAGTACTTCTGGCATATGCTGTATGAATGAACCTAGGACAATGAATACCTTCTACTCATTAGCGACAATAACAACTATTTCTCTGCTTAGTCATAGTAACTCTTAGAATTGAAGATTTATTTCGTAATTTTACATTTAATTTATAAGTGACTCCCATAAAATGATTGAAACAATCAGGTAATACAAGATTATTTTAATATACTTTTTTTATTCAGGTGGAACGTGTTGAAATTAAGGATGTTTCATTACCTCAGGATATGCAACGTGCAATGGCAGCTGAAGCACAAGCAGTTAGAGCTGCAAAAGCCAAGGTGATAGCAGCACAAGGTGAATTGGATGCTTCAACAACACTAAGAAAAGCTGCTACAGAAATGGCATTATCACCGGTAGCTCTTCAGTTACGTTATTTACAAACACTAGCCACCATTGCAACAGAACAAAATTCTACAATTGTATTTCCATTACCCATAGAATTACTTCAAAGCGTTGTGTCAAAGAAGAATTTATAATTACCTGCCTTTTTGTGTTCGCGTATATATGTATGTCTGTGAGGGAATTCCCTTTTCAAACTCATCCTGGTTCTCATTTTAACTTTCGTTGTGTTCTGTATTTGATATACTCAGCAGTAACTTCTCTGAAGTTACACTTTGACGGAAAGAAGTCACATATTCGTGTAAACCTTCACACACACACATACTTATATAAGTTTCTATACTCTATTCTCAGGACAATCTTACACTGCTCTATAAACCAGTTAGTTGAACATGCAAAAAACTTGTATCCATTCTACATAAACCGATTTTGTTATTTTTAAATAATTAAATATTTTCTACTGATATAGGTATATATTAGTAGTCTGGATTATAAGTATGCAACTTTTCGCATACTGGGTCAATTTATGACGTATCCATATGTTGAGAAACTCTTTCTAAGAATTAAAATCAAATGAGCTTGTTTTTTCTTAAAGATAAAATATCCTACATAAAAGTTATTTGAAGGTTTTGTTGTTACTCAAACGATGTAATTATGCTACATTGTCTTTATAGGTAACAATTCATAAATAATTCTGTTATCAGTTTGCATCTTCTTAAGAGAAGAAAAATGTATAGTCAGTATTGCCAATAAAGCAGTTAGTGTATTGGTAATGATATTTATTTAGTGAGTCAGTTGGTCAATACTTTAACCAATATAGAAATTGTAATGTACTCAGTAACCTTGTGCAAATCCATGCAGTTGGCAGTGAGCCACATTTATTGGATAAGGGGTAATAATACTACTACCTGGCTGCCAAAGCCTCCGTAGCCGGAGCAGGGTTCGAACTAGAGACGCACTGGTTGCAAGGCACCTTCCCAGACCAATGAGCCACAGCCCTACTCCTGACAAGTATTAGCAGAAAAACATCACTACCCAGTCTTCAGACTATTACGTCATCATACCATAGAAAACAGTTGTGAAAGCGAGAAATGTAGTTAGGTCAAATACTGGTCAGTGATTACCACTAAAAAATCAACCGATTCTAATTATTTGGGCATGACACTGCCAATAAATAGATGTTTTGTTGTTGTTTCATAAGAAAGAAAATTTGTTAAACAGTTTAATTGTGAAATGAAGTGTTTAGTTGTTCAATGTGTTTTCTTCATTTTGAAATTCTGTGTCTAGATTTTAATCCTGACATAACTTTTGGTCTTCACGTTACTATTCCACAGAATGTAACCTTACAACTTCTGATTTGATAACGAACTTTACATGATGTAACTTATAATTGCATCTTCATCTTCTGTACAAAAAACAGGTTTTGATTCTCCAGGGACATATGAGTAATGGCGATTAGTTTACACAAATACCACATAAAAGAACTAAGTATTTGGAAACATGTTACGTTCAGTTATAGCCCTAATAACCCATTTGAAATGTTTCTAAAAGTGGCACTCAGTAACCTGGGTGTCTGAGTTTATGTGAACTCTCTCACAAGAGCAGATACATCTTTCCGATGCATATCGATGTGTAAAAGTCGTAGATTGTTATCTTCCTATCTGTCTGTTAACTACAGTCGTTCAACACAATGACATAAAACATTCACTCAGGGTCTAATGTCATGAGGATACCACAGGAATGAATGGTTAACGTTCCATACCCTACATCACAGATAAACTTGAGCTAACTTCTAAGCAGTTTATAGTTCCGTGTTTATTAACCCGATCGCTAGTATCATAAAATGAGTGATTTCAAACGACAGATGAAGGCAGTTTCTGTGTTAATCTCCACAGTCTTACTTAAGATTACGCAGAGAATTACCTTATCATAAACCGCACTTTAATGAACAAAACAGAAAGACAAGCAAATTTTTTATGTTCAAAGGTAGTGCAATATGATAACTGTTAGGTGTTTCCAAGTTCTCGGGTTTGTTCTCGGTTGGTTCATCATTAGGCTGAACGACTTCAGCAACATTTACTTCATTAAGCTTAGTGGTGAAACACCAAAAAAAACCTTGAAGCTTTGAGAACACCGAACAGTTACCACCTTCATCCTGAGTTACAAATCCTCTTTACTATATCACAATACTTTACCATGAATTGGCATCTGGTATGCAACCACTTAAAAGTAGGAACCAGTAGACAGTTTTCCACCATACTTTGAAACTTTCTAGGAGAATGAACTCAACCCCATGTGAGATAGAGTCGAAAGTTGTTAGAAATCCCAGTGAACTTAATAACATTTGGCCACTGATTTGTGATTCAGTAATGTTAGTTCCACCACTTGCTAGGCTCTGAGGACGCTGATGGTTAAGAACCCGCAGCCTCCTCACGTCTCTCGATGACCACGTATCACAGTTACATAATAAGACAAGTCGGACTACTGTGTGGTGCACACTTACCTTGATTTACATTTGGGTATTGACTGTTTCTAGAGTTAGTAAATACAAACAAACCTGTTTTGTTTGAGCTGAAATTTTACAAGCATCCAGTCCAGCACGGTTGGTTGAATATTCCAGGCAACTGAAGTTTTTAACTTATTTTGTCAATTTACCATCTATACTTACACTAGGAATCAGTGCAGACCGTCTGTGAAGCATTATTTTGCATTCTGACAGGGCACGAAAAGTATGCAAAACATACCCCGATCGTTATTTTATGTGTTCAGAAGACCTTACATTTCGTTGTTTCATGTAAAATAGGAAGTCACTTCCCAAGGAGGTGGCTCGGATTCCCTTCAACAGTACACCTGTCCCAAAGTTGAAGAAAAATAATGATAGGATATCACTAGTCGTCGTTATTTTCAAATGATAGCTTTTCGTAAGCTCTTACTCGGCTGCATAGCTTCTAGAAGTGAACCAGGATTTGCACAGTATACCTTCTTACCACACCCTCAACAGCTAGACTCTGTCACAACACCTTGCAATCGACAGAGTCAAATACGCTCTCAGGTCAAGAAATGTGGCAAGGTTTGGTGTCCACTGAGTGTGTATTTGTAACAAAACCTGTCCAGTTAGGAAAAACCCAAGCAGTGAGCGCTATTTAAGTTACTTAACCTACGTCATTTTATTGATTTTACTGTCCTGAGCTGCAACTCAGCAATGAACGACTGAAGACTGTAGAATCGTAGATATGATGATAGTCAAACTCTTTTGAAACTGTCACAGAAAGATTTGGTAACTTTCACATAAACTCAAATGATCAATGATTTAGGTCAGTTTGACAGGTCTACTTCTAACTCCCATATAGTAGCTAGCAAATCAGTTAATCTGATCAGTACTTAATTACTTCTGTCATCAAAAGCTCCTAGCGGTATGACGTTTGATTCTAATGCTTAACTTCGTTTCAGGTTTGAAACAGGCTTTAAATGTAACCTAAGATCCTCACCACAGCTTACACTGACAATGTTATAATCCTAGCTATGTTTATTCTTGCCACAAACCGAAGCACCAATTTGGCATGGTAGGCTCCTAGGAAAAAATTATTCCAATCAACACAGGTTTTTACGTCACTGTCATATGCAAGCCTCCCCACAATGTCAGGGTAAGAGCTGTCGATTGGATGTATTTTATTATTAAAGTAGTTCTATCCTCCACGGATTTCAACACAACAGTAACAACTAGGTTTTTAGAAAACAGGTGACTCATCTGAATGAATTTTTGATAGGGTCCGGAACTTTGGCATTGAGTGAAATAGTTTTAAATGTTGACGTAAAATGTAAGGACTCATCTGCTGGAAAGAAGCTTGGAGTGTGTAATACCTTCCCTTTCATAACCTAATATGGTTAGTTGTTTATGGGAATGGTTGAAATTACTCTATTAGTGAACCAAAATGTCACATTCAGAAAACAGAAAATCAGTAAGCAACAATCGAGAAATATTTTGAGGAGAATTGTTACCTACATCCACTGATTACTGCACAGCACTCAATCCCATGTTTATCGACCATTTTGAAGTGTGGCCACCAAGTTAGAAGGCTCACCAATGTAGATGCTAGTTGGTTGGAAGGAACTGACAGCAAGCCCAAGGTTTCGTGATTGTTGGCACTTATCAGTAAGACGTATCTGAAACCTCGAGGGAAATGACGTCCCCTACGAGGTTCGAACCCGCGCCACTCAATGCTGCAGTCAGTGACGCTACCACTGAGCTATTCGGTTGTGTTTGACATCCTGTAGGACTTGATAGCACACACTGATTAATAACTGGGAAGGAATCATTCTCATGTTGTCTAGTTCTAAGTGCTGATTGAAATCTATCACCTGAGAAGCTCAGCAGTAACATCACTGACTGCAAGATTGGGTGGCGAGAGCTTGTATCTCACAGAGGACATCAGTTTCCTCATTCTTCCAGATATGCCTACCTGATGAGTGTCAACAAGCACGAAAACTAGGTTCAGAGCTTCCTACCGGCTACCTCCAACCAATGAGAATAGTTACCTTCAGGGATCTACGAGAAAGAATTATAGTGAAATCTGAGGGTTACTTTACACTGATTGAATATAAAATCCATTTATCTGCATTAGATTGGTGTTGAAAAATTTTCACACTGAGAACAAAACTAACCAATGGTTGGAAGTTGAAAGGAACAGCCCATTCCTGACCACCGAAATATTAACCCTATTTAGGACACTGGCTTGTTTCGCAAGTTAAAGGAGGCAAATATACATCAGATTTTACGTTCATCTTTATGCATCACTTAACGTATAAATTCACAATTGGGAACTTTTGAGAGACAAAAACAGGGATGGTATGCACTTTTCTGAACACATCTAGGGAAGCTTAAGTCTAAGGGTAGCAGACATCGTAAGCGGTAAAACTTCACAGCATGAAATGAATATTGAGTCTGACGTATACCTAAAGAACGCTTTACCAAAAGCCATATAACCAAAGAGTTCGACAGTATTCCGATTCACAGAAGCCATAACAATTATAAGATTGAAAGCTTACCTTCATATTTTAGAGAGTTAGTAGTCAAAATAAAAATCTGTTGGTAAAACACTTTTGTCATTATGACTCATTTGTTTTTCACTCATCATAAAAACTGATTACTACTCACGATGTATTTCTAAGGGCTTTTCATTTATTCTTTCTTCTTTTATTTTCATAGTCGTTTACTCTGCACATCAGATGATCAGTCACCTTCTTCAATATTTCAGGAATATACATAACAAGCATTTCAAACTCCCCCACCCACATAGAATACCTTTCAGTCATTCCATTTTTAAATTTTGCCCTCGAACCCATTTTATTATCATACAATGAGCAACTAATTATTCCTACAAGCGTCTATTTTCTATTCTCATTCATTGACACCGTAATTATCTCGCCTACTCTTTAAAAGCCTTGTAAGCTTGTATATATCTTGCAATATACTTCGTCTGAATACATTACTTCCTACAAGTCTCAGTATGTCTTCTCTATTGATTAGCCAGGTCGGGAATCAAATAGCAAGTTGTAAAAGGTTAGTGGCTGACAGTCAATTTCAGTCCATCGTCGATGGCTATAGCAGTTTGGTGTGTTCCTGGACTAATTACCAGTAACAGTAAATTAAGAACCATAATAAATGTGTAACTGGATTCGGTTTTGTGTACATTGTCACTTGTATTATTCTGTCGTTGACTGGACCGAATTGATCGGTTTCTGCTGGTCCATAGGCTGTTGTGTGGATGCCTCAATATTGCCTGTTTTTTCGACTTTATGGTACTGATGGATGGTGGCTAGGAGTGGAGTTGAGGACGCATGTATTATCCCATTCGGGACTTCTCAGTCAGAAGTGCCCACCTCCTAGTGAGGGATGTTTTCCTCACTAAGACTTGAGCCCGTAACCGATCGCTTTCAATGCTAGAGACTTACCCACTAGACTAGTGAGTTACGATAACGACTTCTTGTGACGAGTATAGCTTGTATGCTGTTGTTTGTATCATCCTGCTGTTGATCATTTTAAGTTAATATTGCCTGCCACTGTAATTCCAGCTCATTTGCATATACATTTCTAACATATTTACAGTGAAGTATTGCCTTATTTCGCTTTCTCATTAAAGTATCTCAACTAAAAAAGAATATAAGTCTTTTTGAAGTGTGTTGTTTCTTTTGTTGGTTTTCACTTGTCCATTATTTGGCTGTACCGCCCCCTAATAACATCTGAACATGTAGTCAAAGGTCAAGAAATCACAACAACTCAGTCAGCCTCCAAACTGTATTACAGGTAAACGTATGCACTCGTTTCCACCTATGAAGGAAATGTTTTGGTAACTTGAACATAAATTTTGATCGATTCAAATGTATAGTTCAAGACAGTTTCAGTCAATATCCCGATTCATCAGTGAACCGAAAACTGTACCCTATTTTGTGAACTACTCAATCTGTATTGGCGAAATTGAACTAACAATCATTACATGATTTTATATCAACAAAATAAAAGTTGTAAATAATCTAATCACTATCAAAAGTCATGAAATGGTTATACTATGCTTAAATGTATTTGACATGTTTAGGAAAACTATTTCGTCAAAATGATTGTTCAGCATAAGACCAACATTTTTCAAGTTCATTAACACACGAAAAACTCTTTAATGTATAATTCATTGTCTATAGCATTCAACCTTCAAGTAATGCGTCCCACATTCAAAACTCTCTCCACCTACTTCAGACTAGTTAATTTGAAAGTATCATAAGCCTTGACAAAATTATTGTGGTCCATAGCCTAGTACACAAACAACTGCACAAGGTGGAGTTGTAGTACACTTAACCTTGAAGTATTCCAGTAGTTCTGGTACTATTCTTATTATTATTACTACTGCCTTGCAAATGTATTATTTCCAGGATATAAAAGGTAGTGTAAATTATTCTATAATCAACAACCAATGGGTTTAGTATACGTTTAATTAGACCTAATATCTAGTTTTTTTTCAGATAAGGGTACCCGTATTTTCATCTGTTGTAGATATAAATGTACAAAAGTAATGGACACTATATATTTCCTAATAAAATTCCTCACTTTCAAACCATTGAATATCACTGATTTCACAAAAAAATAAATAATTCATTTAGCATGTACATGCTATACTACTTATTGGGTGTATTTCAAATAATTCTATGTTCAAGTGATTTTGATAATGTAGATATGAAATTCGATAAGTATTTACGTCCAGATGAACCTGATCTGCATATGATGATGGATGATAACACTTATCAAAGTCATGAACATTATGATGATTTTGGACATTTCAATGAATATGATCATGATTTAGTAACTGGTTCGCACGAATATTCACAGAGGTTTAAAGAATTAGATTCTGAAGAGGCAAAAATACAACTCGGAAAGTTATTTCATAAAATTGATACTGATAACAGTCAGAAAATTGATAAAGATGAGTTGAAAAGATGGATTATTCAATCGTTTATGTGAGTTATCCATGATTGTGTTTATGTATGGGTTAATATGAGTCAATGTTAGTACATAAGGGTATGAAGTGTCTGTAACCTCAACAGAATCGGTGTCCAGCCTCAGATTGGAATCAACACTATTGGGTGTTGGGCGTTAATCCTAGGGGGATGGGACAACAGTGCCGTCGAGTTAGCCTTGTTGATAAGTGCCAGAAAGCGCAAAACCTAGGTTGAGCAGGACTTCCTTACCAATCGTCTTCATCCAATTAAAACATCAATTTTGTTCAATACCAATCAGCATTCAAGCTGTGAATTAAAACTAATTTTTATCAAAGATAAATGTAAATTGATAACCATTCTCATTTTGTACGATTTACAGATTCACTATGCAGAGATTACCTTTGGCACATTTCCAAATCGACTAAAGTAGGTAGAATCGAATTCAAATACTGGATCTTCAGTTACGAGTTGTGTAATTACAACTTTTTATTGAAAGTCAACGAAATCAGTTTGCTAGGTTTAAATCTGGAATATATTGCCTTAGAAGGTTGAGTATTTAACTTTAAGCTTCATCATGAGATATTCGTCTATTCGTCTATTCAATGTTCTTGTTTCGAGGATTAATCATATTGTCTTTTCCTCTCATTAAGTTATTTCCAAAATAGACTATTACGAAAAATAACTCCTGGATATCTATAGCCTCAACAACTTAGAAATTTGTAAAATTTACGGTGAGTATTTTTTAGCTCAGAATGTGGTTGTTTAGGGTGTTGGTAAAGATATCATAGTCATCCTAGACATTAGTTTGTCAAGCATGACAATAAGAATAGTTTCAATACATCAGCTGTCATTAAAATCGGAAAAGTGTGATGATTAGTGAAGACTAATCAGAATACAAATTGTTAAACTTCATACGTGATGACTCAGTAAAGGTAAACAAGATCGATATAGAGCTCAATACTCTGTCATCTGGTTGATACTGATTACTGAGTTAATATTAACAAAGTCTTTAAAGTTATTTATCACATTCCTTCTGATCTCAAACATGGTGTATAAGTTCGTTTTTCACATACAGCAGAAGCCTTTGGGACCTGTGTGTGTTCACAGGAAATTCTTACAGCCTCCTTCTTTGCCTTAGGAATCTGCATGGCTTATCTGTAGAAAATACCATCCTCCCATTTAGTCATCCCATAAACGTCCGTAATAATAATTATAATAATAATAATTACCATTGTTATTACAGTTCTAGCCATTTTCTCTTCCCCTTCTTGTCCCTAATTCCTGTCAAAAATTGATCACCTGATATAAGAATTCGTTTTCTCTTCTCTTCCCTTTAGTTACTATTACATAGACTATCAATTATGCAATAGGCTGTTTGAAATTTCATAAAATTTATCATGTAATTATTCTATACTTTAGCTACTTTTAATCACCTTGGTCAACTATCATCCCCTTGATACTTTGGGGTTGATTACCGATTATGAAACAAACACCCCTAGACTGTTATTTAATTTTATATTATAAGGATGCGATATATTAGTGTGAAGCCATTGATGAGGAATTGGCTTCTGAAGCATTATCAGAAACAGCACAGAAAAAAGAATGATTGGTAGGTTACGTAAGAGGTGGATAGTGTTAAAAAAGGAAGGAGTGATTTCAAAGACTGGAAATCAAGGCCATGAAATGAGAAGGGGTTGAACAATCTTTCTTCAGGTACAAAATTCAGGTTTCTCTACATCGAAATGGCAACAGCTTCAGTGATGCAAAGAATACGAAGAAATGGATGGTTTGCATGGTTTCCTTTCATTTTATAAGTAACTTTGAATGAGGTGGTTCTTAAGGTAACCATGCGAGACAGTGCTGCTGAACTCTTTTAGGCGAAATTTTTTTCGCATAACAGTTATTGTCCTCATTGATTGAAATTCACTCGTAAGAAGAAACAGGAAGACTGACAGGACTGGTAATATCCAGACTGTTAAAAAATGTCATGATAAAAACGTAAGATAACATATGTCACTTTGCTGTCCGACATTCAAACCTGCAACCTAACACCCACAAGTCTGATGAGCAAAGTAGTCGTTTGAAAAAGAAATCAACTGGTAAACACCCATTAGGTTAATGAAATATGAAGATTCTTACATAACATTACCATGATCTGTGATTAAAGAATACGGAATTAAGCAAACGATGCTTGGATGATCTGTTAATCCATTGTTGGCATATTTAAACAGATTCAACCACATTGTTCGCAACGAGAAATTGCAAGCATCATTGCAATAACTGATACTGGTAGCACAAGAGGTAGCTATCGTGCCTTAGCGGCTTGATGGATAAGGCTCTGGGTTTGAAGTGAAGGGTACTGGGTTCGAGCCTCAGTGGGAACACCATCACTCACTAGGGTCCAGGTACATCCTGCTGATAAGTCCCAAATAGGACAAAATACGCTTCCTGGATTCCTCTGCTAGTCAGCAGGATCAACATATTGTTAACGACTGCAAATTTGGTCAGTGCTGAAGAAAAAACTCTATTAATAAATGATGACTGGACGGGAATAACAAAAAGTTCGGAAAACACTTTATGAGTGACTTTAAAGGATACCCTAACAACTGACGAGACAACCAATTATGAAAAACTATCTCATCCAGCGAAATCTCAAAACCTCATTGATTACTTCACCCGGAAAGTAGTTTTCCATATAATAGAGAAACGTAATTCGTTGTCTCGTCAGTTTTTAGGATGGCCTTTAAAGTCACTTCATTCGGTGAAGTAACTCTGAGGTCTACCATAGCGATGACTAGGATAGCCCTATGAATTGCTCCGTTCTGGTTCGGAGGTTTGCCGGGACTTATTTGTTTATTCCAGGTTGGTATTCATCGTGGACTAACATCAGTTGGAAAAAACACCGGAAACTTGTGAGCGTTGGACAGCTGTTTCGTCCAAGTATAGGAATCCTTAGACTGTGTGTCCATGATAACTCCACAAATCGACCCCAGGACTCCAGTTTCGGTTGGAAAGGTAGCTTTCCATATAGTAGATAAACCTAATTAGTTAGGTCAGAATTTGCTTGGGGAATCTTAGAGTCACGGATTTTGTCTGCAGGTCGAAGTTAGTTCGTTTATTCTTCTTGTATACATAAGCCGGGCGATTTTCATTGGTCATCTCTTCACTATAATAAAATGCATGATTTCATAATCAAGTAGATTATCCTTATATGTGCATATATAACACTGAATGACTGAATTTGATTAGGCCGTTTTTTGAACGATTCAGTACTGCTAAGTATTACTGTATTGTATGAATATACAGATTACAATTACGTTTCTGTTCCTTCCCACTTGACTGAGATGCAATGTAAACAGGAAGTCTTAGTAAATTTTATTTTTACGAACATTCCATAATTACCTTTTTGGGTGTAAACGTTAATGTTAAATTTGTGCCCACATTAACCATAGCTATTCAGGTTTATATATTTAGATTTGGACCTTCCGAAAAAGCCATATCTGTAGTTGAAGGTTTACTTACAGAAAATTACATTTTGCGTATGATTTTAAAGTTCACTCTATCAACTCCACCTGTTTCAATCTAAATAGTAGTTGGAATTAAACATTTTGAGAAACTTTTCTGAAGGGAAGGAAGGACGAAGTAAATTCGTATTATATATCCTTGATTTTACCTAACTTTTGCCTGATATTTGCCTATGACCTTGAAATAACTTTATTATTGTAGTTTTCGCGCCATCTCGGTGCTGTTACTAGCTTTTGTTTTTCCCACTGCTTCTGAAGGTTGAACTCTCATTGATCTTTAACGCTTTCAACTTAGTCAATTCAGTGTTTGTCAAGGTTGCCTAAAGTGTTTATATCCAGTATCGCTATCAATTGTTTTGATTGTTGTTGAGACAGAAAAATCTCTTCTCTTCTTATTTTCGCTTGTCAACGGTATTATTGTTTTGGTGGTTGACGTTCTGGCTGGCGATTAGATTAGATTCTTTTGTGCGTTAGGTGCCTATCCCTCGTAGATTGCTAGGTCTCATTACAAGTCGTAGCAATTCGTCAATGAGCCTTCATGCCTAATTATTCAGCTTATGCAAAGCGCAGCTGCCATAGTGGCCAGTTTTAGTCTTTTCTGTAAACAGTGAATCACTTGTCCCACTCAAATAGCATATGAGGTTATGCCTAAACTATGTTAATGCGTACGTCTATGCAGGAGACAGGGCTTATGAGTTTCAGTCTAAACTATTAAGTGGCATGTTGTGTATTTGAATCTCATTCCATCCAACAAGATTTGAGCAGCCAGCTGGTATGGTGCTAAACTGCACTTAACATATTTAGCAACTTTGGGAAAGCCAAAAACTGAAAAAACTCGACTAATGTGAATTCTGTAGGGAAGAAGGAAGAATATCGAATGCAAGAATGGAGGACAAAAATACTGCACACTGGGATGTTGAAAAAAGGAGAATGTTTTCTGAACTTCTCTTCAGTATAGTCTACTGTCACACAATACTTATGAATCGCTACCTTGTGCAAAAACATTGTTCATCAGTGAAATCTGTCTGTTATACAGGGTTCCCGTATATCTTTCATAATTTAAAAGCTGTATGAGTTATGTTGTTGAGTATAATACTATAGAAGGGTCTAGCTGGTTCCTTTTTGCTTTTCGGAAGAAAATATTATGCTGTAAAGGTCAACATAATAGAGTGAGAGAAAATTATATAATTTTGTCAACCCTAGAAGTATTTGAACGACAGAGTCATATCCAGTTGTATTTACCAGTTTTCATATACTTGTGATCACATATACATAGGGAGATCCTGTTAACCTGAGCAACTTAGGGCTATGGAGTATATTCCGAAATAGGTACAACAACAAACCAGTTAGCATAATCGTACTGATTCAGGTAACAAATGTTCAACTTCGTCTAAAGATAAACATATCACTGAAACTAAACATAAGGTTGATTTCAATGAGTCTTTCAAACCTGTTTATAAAGGCTATTCGGGGGGGGGGGGGTGCACAGACTGA